CATCTGTGTCTGACCTGGCACCCCACATGCAGCTGAGGGGGCGCATTCTCATCTGTGTCTGGCCTGGCACCCCACATGCAGCCAAGGGAGGCATTCGCATCTGTGTCTGACCTGGCACCCCACATGCAGCTGAGGGGGCGCATTCTCATCTGTGTCTGGCCTGGCACCCCACATGCAGCCAAGGGAGGCATTCGCATCTGTGTCTGACCTGGCACCCCACATGCAGCTGAGGGGGCGCATTCTCATCTGTGTCTGGCCTGGCACCCCACATGCAGCCAAGGGAGGCATTCTCATCTGTGTCTGACCTGGCACCCCACATGCAGCTGAGGGGGGCATTCTCATCTGTGTCTGACCTGGCACCCCACATGCAGCTGAGGGGGGGCATTCTCATCTGTGTCTTGTATTGTCATCAATAGAATTCCTATTTCCATTTGTCCTGTAGACAGCCTTGACTGCTCCTGGCACATTTGCGGGTGGGAGATGGAAGAAAGAGGCCATGGCTTCCTCTCTCTAAGAGCAGAGAACCACGCTCACACACACACACCCCCGCACTCCCCGCCGCCGGGCTACACATACGAGAAGCCCCAGCCACCCTGTTAAAGTGGTATCCCTGGCTCGAGGCCTGGTGCTTGCATACAGTTGCTCAATGCTTGTTTCATTGAGATATTCCTTTTCTTTTTGAAATAAGGACATACTTTTGACTTTGAAGAGAAGGGCTCCTTTTTTTTTTTTTGCTTTTGAAACCCAAAAGGAGGTCTGGCGAAGCTATAGGAAGTAGGCAGCTTGATTTAGCTTGAGGCTTTCAGGTAATTCACATCGCAAGGGGCTTGATGTTCATTCGTAGTGGGCCGTTGTGGGGCAAAGCACTAACGGGTACACACAAGTCCCAGGCAGGCCTATTGGATCAAGACTCAGCCCTTATCCCCAGAAAGATGCTCTGCTATTTCACCTGCCTCTCAGCAACAGAGCGCTGTCCACGGGACCAGGACGTGCCATCTTTGGGAAGATGTCTCCCCATTTTAGAGATGTTAACATGTGGCTTTCAGTCGATGAAATACAGGTGTTGTTGATCTTAACTAGGTGTGCGATGTCATGTTGAACAAACCAGATTTACACACGTGAAATAAATGTCAAAACCAAGCCTACCCAGCATTGCGGACCACCTGTGTCAGCATAGGTTACACCTGGCACAGGAGCTCAGCAGGGACCACCTGGGTCGGCCTAGGACAGTGATGGTGAATCTTTTGAGCTTGGCATGCCAGCATTTTGAAAATCCCTAACTTAACTCTGGTGCCGTGTCACATATAGAAATTTTTTGATATTTGCAACCATAGTAAAACAAAGACTTATATTTTTGATATTTATTTTATATATTTAAATGCAATTTAACAAAAAAAATCAACCAAAAAAATGAGTTCACGTGTCACCTCTGACACGCATGTCATAGGCTCGCCATCACTGGCCTAGGAGACACCCGCCATAGCAGCTCAATGGGAAGGAATGACAGCTGGCGCTGAGCGGGCCAGGGAAGATTTTAAAAAGAAGGTATCTGGGTCCTGAAGGGTGAAACTCCAGAAGAAAGGAGAGGCCGGGATGTGGCATCATGGCAATTCTCTGAGCTAAGATGAGGAGAGCAAGGCAAGGGTGGGTGAGGGGAACCGGTAGGGGCACCGGGTGGTGAGGAGGCAAGTGGGATCCGGCTCACCAACTACTGAGACAAGGATGTGATTGCATCATAAAGGAAGTTACCTAAAATGGGAAGGACAGAAACCCCGGTGAGCTGTAAAATTGTTCAACTCTCTTTGTTCCCTTTGTTCTACATAAAAATGGATAGATGATAGATAGATACATAGATAGATACATAGATAGATAGATAGATAGATAGATAGATAGATAGATAGATAGAAATAATACCATAGGAAAATATAAGAAAAAAAACAAATTAAGAGAAAATAATTACAATTTATACCAGAGAAAATATGCTATGTTCCTAATATTTAAATGCTGCCAGAAATCAGGGAAGAAAAAGACCAACAAATCCATTTTTTTTTCCATGGGCAAGAGATATGAACAGCAGGTCACAGAAAAGGGAATGTAAGTGGCCTTGAATGAACAAAAAGTTGCTCAAACTCACACTGGGAGGAAGGTACATCTTTAAGAAAGAGATTCTATTTCCAAGTTATCTATAATAATCTATAATAATAAAAGGGTAATATGCTAATTAGGCCGGACGTCCTCTGGATGAAGCTGGGATGGGAGGGAAGCCAGCTCAGGTCCCGGGTGCCAGAGGGAAGCTGGTGCCAGCAGCTGGGGGAAGGAAGGTCTACTCTTGCACAGATTTTTGTGCATCGGGCCTCTAGTCAGATTGATAAGAAGCCAAAAGCTTTCAGACACATCCAGTTGGGAGAACTGTACCAAGGTGTCCTCTCACACTGTCTGTGGGAATGCAAAATGGAACAAGCCATACAAAAGGGATTTGAGACTGTCCAGCAAACTGACATAATGATCTGGTGATACATAATAAATAATAAAATAAATTCTAGGAATCTATCCCAAAGATACACTATCGAAGGGAGGGGGAAGGTCTCCATAACCGCTGTAGAGTGATCTCCAGGATCTATTGGTAAGTGAAAAATGCAAGGTGCAGGCCAATGTGTGCAATATGCCATCCTCTGTGTAAGGAAGGGGAACAATACACACATATTTTTGGTGATAATAAAAAACAAAGAAAAAATAAACCAAAACTTAATACAGCTATTTCCATTAGGGGGAATAAGCAAAGAGGGGGGAGGCACAGGGAGGAAAGCCAGACCTCTGTGAATGGACCTGGCCGGGAGCTGTTAGACGTGGTTTTCAGAACACAGTACGCCCGGGGGGAGGGTAGGAGATCCCTGCCAGGAGTGTGCTGGCGCGAGCTGGAGCTGACCTGTACTAGCTTGAATATTAAATACTCAAGAAGCTTGAGAGCTGGTTGTTAAACGATTGGAAACTGTATACTGGATGCAACGAGGCCTTCCAGTCTGAGGCCTGGTTCGGGTCCAGGAGCTGGGCGAGGGATCAGGACTTTCTATTGGGGTGCTTGCCCTCCCCTTTCTGATCATCATTCAGGCTTGATTTCTGTTTTTGTTTTTTACAGACTTTGAAGAGTATGCAAAGGATGTGTCAGCCTTTTTCAAAAAGGTCATTATTTATAGTGTTGCCAATTTCCTCGGTGTAAACGCTCCCACCCCAGAAGGAAAGACCTTGCAATCAAGACCAATGCAGATAGTCCTTCCTCTTCCAGAATTCATACATATAACAATACACCAGAAAAAAGGAATACCCTAGCATTACAAGGACTGTTGAATACCGGGTTCAAGTTCAGATGGATACTGAAGTCCTGAAGCATCATTATGGGCTCCCTATCAAACAGAAACATAGGGAGGGCAGGTAGTAAGTGGAGTCCTAGCGACATCTCTCAGAGTGAATCCATGGGGCTCACAGACCAAGCCAGGGGTCTTTCCTAGGTCCCTGGATGCATAATTAAAATGGACATCGTTGGTAGTTGATCCAATTCCTATCAGTCACTACTAGGCTTTGGAGGAGGAGCAGTCATATGGAGGGGGGTGGGGTCGAAGCCTCCGACACTGATTTCCACCCCCACCCCCACCCTGACCCAAGTCAAGATAGATAAGTAAAATGCGGTATGTCCGTATAATGGAATGTTATTCAGCTGTAAAAAGGAGTGAAACACTGACACGTGATGGGCCTTGAAATCTTTGTGCTCAGTGAAATAAGCAGACACGAAAGGCCACATCTTGTCTGATTCCCTTTCCGTGAAATGAGCAGAATGGGCAAATTTATGGAGAAGGAGAGCAGAGTCGCGGTTGGCAGGGACAGGAAGGGACTGCTTAATAGCATAGGATTTCCTTTGTAGTGATGAGAATGTTCTGGAACTAGAGAGTGGTCGTGGTTACACAACACCATCACTGTGCTAACCACTGAATTGCACATTTTAAAATGGCTAAAGTGGTAAGTTTTATAGCATGTGTTATCATACACGCGTGAACCACACGCCTGCTAAGCGTTATAAGAGCAGGGCCCGACACTCAGCGGCTCGGACGTGGTCAGCACTGTAAGTCCTGGTCGGTCCTACAGGGGACACATCTCCGTTCTGATCGGAGATACTATCATTATTAATGAGGTCAAGTAGCTTTCCGTGTGCTTTAGGGAATGCGAATGTTTGCATTTTGTATTTGGTTGTTGTGTGTCTTCTCCTGGTTTGGTTGTAAGGATTTTTTTCATTTTCACACTAACCTTTCATCTATCATGCACATGGCAAACATCTTCTGGCAGTGTTAGATCTCCAATTTTTATGCCAAAAAGATTCCCTTTAAGTTTGATTGAAATTACACCAATGGTGGGCTGACTGGGAGAGTGGAGGACTGTGTAGCCCTGAGTTTTTGCCCTTGACTATCTCCGGTCCCCAGTGGACGGACATACGTTGTTTATTTTTTGGTCGAGTGTTTTCTATTTCGTTCATGCCCGACCCTCCTCACTGTCCTCGCGGGCGCTGTATGGTTTGGGCAGTGAAGGCGCTGAGCCTCTTTCCCACAGTGTCTGGCGTGACGGCGGCTGTCAGTGGCTATGAGTTCATTTCACGCCTCGTCCCTCCGTGAATGTGATGTTAGTGGCAGTCACTCGGCAAAAACTTTCCTCATATTTTTCACAAGTTTTCTGGAGCCAAAAAAAGAACAGATGGGAAAACAGAGTCCGGCAACACACTCACAACTTTAATGAGTAAAACCTAATTATAGAAAACGAACCAGCACTAATGAGGGTTCTCCTGCAACCAGTGTAAACACCAACGAGGAAGGGCGGGCGTGGGAGCCTCCTGCTGGGGCCACACACACACACACACTGGGAGGGTATAAAAGCCCACAGACCGAGCACCTCACACACTTACTCACACTCACATTCACACCCCACCTCCCAGCTCACCTCCAGCCCCACCGCCCACCATGGCCGCATCTACCCTGTCCGTCTGCTCCAGCGACCTGAGCTATGGCAACCGCGCCTGCCTGCCCGGCTCCAGTGACTCTTGCACCGACTCCTCCTGGCAGGTGGACGACTGTCCAGAGAGCTGCTGTGAGCCCTCCTGCTGCGCTCCCAGCTGCTGCCAGCCCACCTGCTGTGTCCCCAGCTGCTGCCAGCCCTCTTGCTGTGTCCCCAGCTGCTGCCAGCCCTCCTGCTGCACCTCCTGCCCCTGCCAGCAGGCCTGCTGTGTGTCTGTCTGCTGCAAGCCCGTCTGTTGCACACCTGTTTGCTGCAAGCCCGTCTGTTGCACACCTGTTTGCTGCAAGCCCATCTGTTGCACACCTGTTTGCTGCAAGCCCGTCTGTTGCACACCTGTGTGTTGCAAGCCCATCTGTTGCGGGGCCAGCCCCTGTTCAGCCTCCTCCTGCTGCCAGCCCACCCCCTGCACCTCCTCCTGCTGCAGACCCTCCTCCTGCTTGTCCCTCAT